GGAATACAATACAAATATGCCCATAGGACACGAAAATATTAATTATCAAGATTTTAGCAATGAAATATTTGGAGATAACGATCAGTACTCGAGCTCAAAAGTCCATTAAACATTGCAAAATAGGAGTGAAGCAACATACTCCTATTACAATTAAAATGGGAGGAAACGTAGTACTATGAATTACCGCATTAACTGGTTTTATTTTTCAACCATTATTCTATTATTATACAAATATTTGCCCTATCATTATGCTACAATTTTGCAGAATTCTGAAAAATTTCGGGATTCTTTTTCAGCTTCAACAGTATAGTTGCAATTATGAAGCTCCTTCAAGGGTTTGACTAAATTAGAAATATCAATTAATATTCAAAGTCTATTTGCTTTTCAGCTACAACTGTATGATTGCAATTTATACAGCCGCTTAAATATTGATTACCAAAGTTGCTTTGATTAGTTTATTAAAACCTATTGGTGTCCATATTCTGGAAAAAGAACATTAAAAATGCATTTGCTTCAATCATGTTCACCCAGACCGCTGATAGGGGAAAAGATTTAGTTCTTTAACAAGCCTTTTGATATTTTTATCTTTTAGACATTAATTATTGAAGAGAAATCAACAGCACAAAATGTCTATACACATTAACTGTATTGTATAAACCTTAACTTGGCATATAAGTTGAGACGGCTAAGTATTTTGCTGCTCTTGAGGCAAGCCACAACATAATAAAATCACATCAATTATCAAATTTAACTTTTCACTATAAATCATATTTTCAATACAGTGAAGTTCCACTAAACCAATTACTTGTATTCAATAAAGTTTTTTTGATGTTATTTAATTTGAGTCTTTTAAATTTGTGTCATACGAATTCCTCTCTTCTGTTCATTTAACTTTCTTATACCTAAGTTATTTGGCTGGTCAGTACGAAAGTAGGCGGAGTTGTCAAAGATAAGATGTGTGGAAGTTTGCTTGGGAATCAATATACGGAATTTAATTTGCAGCAATATTACATGTGGTAGAATCTTTTTAAACTATTATTTTCTTTGGACCCTGTTACTTATTTTTACATGGATTGAAAAATTCTGTCAATATTTTGGATTTTGATAAATACTAGTATAGGGAAAATATATTATTTGGCAGTTTGAGAAAAAAATTGAATAATTTGAAAAAAAATCACAAAATGATAATAATACTTAATTACAACAAAGACTAAATTATGAAGTGTTATCATCGAGTTTTAAAACTATAGTTTTACTAGTACTTTTTATCATTTTTTGTACGTATATATTTCAGCTTCTAATAACAAGATTGTTTATATCAAGAGGATTTGAATTTTTTATCTTAAGAAATTCCCTTAGATTAAACTATTTCTATTATTCATTTTCTTCAATCCGATTTGTTGCTAAATTTACAATTTGTTCTTTTAGTTTTTTAGCTACACATCTTTTTTTTTCGATTTCTACGAGCTTGTAGTTTAGAATATATTACGGTAAGACCTCTTATTTCACATTTAACTGTAATCCAAAATCCAGGGCCTCTTTCAACAACAACAAAAAATCCCTATAAACAAATGATTATTACACTATGATCTGTTTTTATTTATAATTATATATACTTGTTCCAAAAGGTGCCATAAAAGCTGAAATGAAGAAAAAATCTTATCTTGATAGAATAATTGGATTTTTTTTTCGCAAAACTGGTGAAAATTTCTGTGTGGATTTTTTCTCTTCATTTATCTATTAAATTTAGATCGTTCATTGCAGGAAATAGATTTTTTTCTGCATTTAGATTTTCATTCAACGCCTCCAACCTGTCTGTTTATCATAGGGTTTAATTTAACATTGAAATCACCACCTTATATCAATTTCTTATCACTATCTCCTAAATGATTCAGCGAAAAAATCCCCACATGATATAAACTTGTTATTAAGTTAATATCTTTTTTTGTTTTGGAGAATATATATTTATCAATGTAAATTTTTAATCTAGTAGGTTTTAACCAAAAAATATCATCTCGATCAGAATCGATTTCCTTAAAAATCTTACTTTATATTATGGCAAAATTTCGTACAAAGATATACAAACTAAAACTTTTATCGAGTCCCCCCCCCTAAATTGTTTACAAGTACAAAGAAAGAAGTCAAATCTATCGTATTTTTACATTTTTTGAATATCATGAAAAATATTATACACTTATCCACTGGTTGTGAGTGGGATAACTCTTTTATCAAACCCGCGACAGAGAACTATTCCCCGAGGGCTTGCCCGAAGGGAATAGTTCCTGTCAAGGGTTTGATAAAAGAGTTATCCCACTCACAACCAGTGGGTAAGTGTTTTATTATACTGATGTTTAATTTAATTTCTGAGGTTTGAATTTCGTAGAGTAAGATAATTCTGCAAGAATAATCTGAAGTCATTATGACTTCATCAGTTTAAAGATTTATCGCTTGAAATCAAAATTGGCGGCAACAATTGCATGAAAATTTTCCGAGGATGGATAGCAAAAAACTATACCCCGGGGTATAGTTTTGCTATGCGTAGACTATAAAGGATAGTTATTTTACCTTCTGAACTTTATATAAGAAACATTTTAACAGAAGTATAATAAATCTCATTATCACCTATAATTGAAATTCCATCAGTCTAACATGCAAGCATCTTTTGTTACAACCCTGATCCTTCATCGTTATAAGGATACAAGTAAGGACAAAACAAAGGTCACTGTTTCAAATTACAGTAAGGTTCAATTGATTACGTTCATCTTTTAAATGGTTTTCAAACGGTTTGTCAATCAGGACACGAGTTGATTGAACTAGCAGCACCTTGTAAAAAAATATGAAAACAAATAGTTACGCACCTAGCCAGGGGGTAAATGTTAGTGCTATATGATGCGGTTTACCTTTTGATGACTTTCATTGATCTCTTTTTAATGTTTATTTGGAAAATCAATGTACATGTGCTTCCTTCCAGAGCAAATAGTAATTGGCATGCACTTATACTATAAATCATTCTCCCAGGCTATATAAAAAAAATTGCCGAACTAATGCTTAGAAAATTATAATCCTTTTTTGCTATTAGATTTTATCAGTATAAAGTTTCAGTCATGGTGATACATTTCTCAATTATCTTTTGTAGAAATTTTTATTATGATTAATGCAACTATTTTTTGGAAAATCATTTGAAATGGAAATCGCTTGTTTGATTCATTTAATATCATTGCCATCTAGAACTTAAAATTATTTTTTCTAATATAAATGAACGTGTTTTATCTATCATCTATTAATACAAATAAAGAAAATTTCATATAATTCTCTTACATCACGGAAAATATTTCATTTTCTTATATCTTTTCAGACACTGAACGGCATGATTCTATGTAAAGGGATATTTTTGTGATTTTCTTTTTTTTTTTTATCAGATTCTCTTATATATCACATAAAATGTTTCATTTTCTTATATCATATATTTTTAGATACTGAACGGCATTATTCTATGTAAAGGGATATTTTTGTAATTTTCTCTCTTCTTTTTTTACCATATTCAGTGAACCAATGGCTTAGGTTGATAGGGAGACCTACTGTCCTTCCCTAGGATTCATAGGCGAGTTTTATGCCTTGTTCATAGATTTGTTATGTTGATAGCTATAGATCAGTATAATACTATTTGTTATCTTTTCCTATTTCAATACAAATAAATGATTCAAAAACAACAATTATCTATCTCGGGGAAGGGGGTTGGGCACTTATTTTTTTATCTCTTAATTGTAAATTTCAACAACCTTGTTTGAAGCCGGTATTTAAGTTCCATTGCCGTTATAACGGCCTTGTTATCAAATTTAACCTAAAAGTGGATCGTTTAATTTACATTTTTCATAGAATTATTCATTAATACATGTATTCCCAAAATTATTTTTGGCTAAAAAACTATTAAACCACTATAAGAATATTTAAATTATTAATTTATATGACGGCTAACTTTTTTCAAACACTGAAAATATTTGCATGAAACATTGTTGTATAAATAGAAAAAAAATTGAAATATTCCGGAAATTACGAAAGCCCGTTGAGGCCAGATCATAATAATAGTTATTGCTTTTAAACGCACATTGTTGTGTTTAATCGCAAAAATTATTGCGTTTAAACGCAAAACATTTGCGTTTAATCGCAAAAGATTGCTTTTTAACACAAAAATTATTGTGATTGAACGCAATATAAATATTTCTTTCTCTGAACTGGCCTCAACGGGTTTCCGTAGGAAACTACTGTAAAATCATATATTTTTGTGTGGTCAATTTTTTTGTCGGTTTGTGGAAAAAAATTGGTTTATTGGGATTTAATTTCGTGGATGAGGAATGATTAAGTTATAATATCTGTGAAAAATTACATTAAACATGGTCTACATAAATTCGTTGGTCTCCTCATACCTCAAAAACCACTAAAATTAAATATATCGAAGAAAATTGGTGATTTCACAGTACTATGAGGTGGGGGGGGGGGTCTCGATAGAATGGGAAAAGACAGACTAAAAAGTGAGACTTCCATCTATATAAAGATACTAAACGATTTCACTATGTATGTAGCCAGACCTCAAGGGGATGTCTCAATATAATAGCCAGTCTTTCTTGAATCTAGTTCAAAAATCTCAATTATTATTAAATATATGGAAATCTTTATAAAACATTAGAAGAAAGCTGGGTCTCGTTTATTGCCACACAGCAAGAACGTACCGCCATTATTATAACGTTAAAAATGGACATTTAACTTTAAATCTTATGTTACATATGATTTATGCAAACAAAGATTGAATTTAGAAGTAACATTTGAACAAAGTTTAAAACAAGTATCATTTAAACTCAATCAAGACGGTTTAAAGAAAAGAATCCTGAAAAGATTTTTTCAGAAAAAAGCACATGATAATTAAATAACATTCGGATGAACTGAAAATTTGCATTGAAAAAGGAACAATATTAACTATTTCTGAAGTATAAGCAATACTTTCATCTCTTGAACCTATCCATGGTATAGTTAGAGGGCAATTATTGATTGATTCACCGATCATTTGATATTTAAGCCTTGGAAAATATAAAAGCAAAAAATACGTAAAGTCATTTTCTCTCATGATCAGGGCGTTTTATACAGTTTTAGCACAGTACAACATACTACAGATTCCATTTTTTTTTAAGGAGAAAATTCTATGCATTTGAATAAAACGTTCCAAGATATTATGTTGTTAATTGTAGTTTGGGTTTTCTTCACATTCAAAGTATGTTGTGGAATAGAATTGGAGGGTTATTTTACTTTAAATGGTTGGCATAATTACTCAGTTATATCTTCTATGCCTGGGATTTTATCAACGAGAAGTGTTGGATTAAAGTGGATATTTTCTCACTGTGCAATTAGTTGCCTCCAGTATAGAGAATGTCATTCATATTATATCTGCAAGTAAGTTTATAAGATGGAAGTTTTTAGAATTTTTCGTTTAAATACATGATAAATTGAAGTTCGTAATGTTTATCACAGACAGCTGATTTTTCAATATAATATAAATAGAACTTGTAAATATACTTAACATGTCTTTAGCCATTTGCAAACTTGTTTTTGATACACAAAATTCTGATTGTGCACACGAGAAATTCGATTTTGATATCTAATGAAATGGTCGAGTTTTTGATGGACAATAAGGTTTGTATGTACATTAAGGTTTCAATTAGTCCATCACTCCACCGGAATTCCGTTGGGTACCTATCGCGCCCCGTTCTAAGCATCTTTTATTAAGTCATATGAAGTAGAATTTACCTTTTTAAAGCTTCTACATGAAAAAGTTTCTTGCTGTGGCCTAAATTTTAATATTTATATGCATGTAAATCGACAACATTTTATTTATCATCAGTATTCAACATAGGTTGTTGTAACAATAAACCATCATCACGTACCTGTGTATGGACGTTATATTTTATAATTCATTCGATACTCAAGAGCATAATCTACATACGACCCTTTCCCGACATGAGGCAAGTCAATGACAACTAAGTAGATGAAACAATGATATTGTCCTGTTGAAAGTCAACATTTTGCAAAGAGTTTACATGTATATCAATAGAACCACTGAACAGCCTACTTTTATTCCTTAAATAAAACAATAACAAATGTAAACCTTCACACAGTACGCAGGGTTAATGAACACTAGGGTGTGTGTGCCAGCATCGGCAGAGCAACAGAGGACATAATTTTATGTTTATGTCATGAACAATTAATTTCATTTGATACAGATATTTTTGCAATTAACATTTCATTTTTTTATTAATATTCTCCTCCCTCCTTGAAATATTTTATTTCGAATTTTTCATTTGAAGAACCTCCAATCAAATATGAAAAAAATATTTTAAGTATTAAAATATGGATTTCCTTTTTTCTGTTATCGTTCGAATATAATATTTTGTTCAATCTTACTTCCAGGATAAACGATAAACACATGTGCTTGTTGTCGTTTCTCTTTGACGAAGATATTAGCCAGAATGGAATTTTACAGTGTAGAGTTTACAGATTTGTAAGTTTTGAAATACCATCATTGGAATAAATACTATGAAAACATACACTGCAAGCAACATAAAATAAAAATTGTTTTTTATGTGTTTTATTATATTTTTTTATTATTATTTTAAGTTTGTTGAGCACTATAAACATAAATTGCTGTATAGATTCGTTTTATCTATCGCACAAAAGTAAAAACAGGCATGGTGTGTATCAATTATACGTATGTCTCCCTAAACTCTTGTTTTAAAGAAAGGGGAATGTGACTCAGATGCCATATATAACAGATACTCTGGGACCTGTGTAAAATGCTCACCGAACTGTGAATGTAAAGGTAAACAATATAAAATCACTATTCAACAAAAAAAAAACTGTTATGCTTTGAAAAAAATATGTACATGCTTTATCTGATTAGATGTTCTTCATTCATTAATTCAATATACATGTACAATGTATAGAATAAGGTCTTTAAATGTGAGACTTTATTTTCAATTGGGTATTTTCTCTTTTTTTAAATATATGAAGTCTTTCTTTCTCCCTGTTTAAACGCTTATCACTATCTTGGAAATTTTCATACAAACGAAACCTTCTTTATCTTTGTAAAAAGGGAGATGAAAATGTTTAAGGAAAAAACAAGAAGTTCTTTTAAAGAAATCTTATTTTGTGGTACCAATGCGGGAAAAATCTGTCATTTTTATACATTATATATATATATAATGATATTGCCTATTAATTATAGAAAAATCTTTTTAAAAGCTCTAAAGAATTTTCAATCATTTGTTTGGATTCATACACATATAGATTTTCTCTTTGTATGTACTTATGTCATGCTATAATTATATTGAAATCCATTGCAAAACATTGATATACATCAATAATTCTCCTAGAGAAAAGAGAAAATGAGCAGAAAACCTTGCAGAGTTGAAACAAATATGTTTTCTTATGCCATTCAAATGTCTTGAATCCCGGGAAGGCTGCACCTTGCAGACATTCTATGATAAAGAACCTTCGCACAATACCTTAGGAGTCTTGCTCTAGCCGTTTTTCATCACAAAAATTTAAAAAGAATGTACCCTCTCTATTCCTACATTTTATAAATATGACCCCAAATTGTCACACATTCCTAGGAGAGTCTTCTTCTTTCTTTATTATTACTTTAAGCTTTGTAAAAGCTTATCGCTATATACAAAGTAATACAATCAGTTTCAGTACAGTATAGAAGTGCATAATTTACAGGAATCATAACTAAACCGAACTCAAATGTTTTGAAGAACATTTTTGTATCTGTATATACAAATATATCTTTTAATACTAGTATTTTCTCTCTGATTCTCTTCATATCCAACCACTTCAAGTACATATTATTTTGAAATAAAAAAAAACTCATAACCAATGTAAATAAAAAAACAATACTGGAATGTTTGAGATTGGTATTAGTAATGATTGGTCTATTTTTTTCAATGTACATTTTGTCTCAAAACTTTTATCCGATAGTATTTTTTCAACATAATTCATTTTGTACCCTAGACTGCCAAGATATTCGCCTTATCCATGGTGACGTCACAGGACAACACTCTCTGAAGATAGATGGCAGAACTGTTCCTGCGTGGTGCGATATGGATGCAGACGACGGGGGGTGGCTTGTGAGTATTGACTTAAAGAAGAAAATACGTAGATCAAATAAAATTACCATTTATACATTGTTTCTCTTTGGAATAAATTGCTTCTTCAATCTTTGAAGTTTGTAGAGAAGTTTAACGCTTCACTTGAACTTTTATACTTCTAGATAATACAGCGTAGACTGGATGGATCTCTGAATTTTTATCGGGGATGGAGCGACTACAAGACTGGGTTCGGTAATCCTAGTGGGGAATATTGGTTAGGTAGGGCTGTTTCTATAAAACACAAGATGTACATGTAGTTCAACAGTATACACATCGAGCATGTACGTTGAAAATGGTACACAGCCTATTCTTTTTTAGATTTATATTCAATCTATTTTTATCTACATCAGTTTACCTTATAACCCCTTTCATAATTTCAGGGCTAGAGAATCTGTATTCCTTGACGTCTGAGGGTGGATACGATCTTCGAATTGATATGGAATACAACAGTCAGTCATTCTATGTCCTATACTCAGACTTTACAATAGCACCCGAGAGTGACAATTATAGAATGAGCTATTCTCTTTTTAAGGCAGGGAACACAGGTACTAGGCCATAACATACCAAAAAATGAATTGTTTTAATAAAAAAAATCAATAAATTTCCCAATTTCCTTCAACAAACAAAATGAATAGATGGATGGCCAAATATTATGTCTGCACTCGCTTTGATTTTTAGATAACGATCTGAGCTGGCATAACGGACAACCCTTTACTACGTTTGATCGAGATAATGACGCTAATGAAGAAAAATATGACGATCCAAACTGCGCAGTCGCATTCTACGGAGCTTGGTGGTACGCTGGGTGTCACAACTCCAATCTTAACGGGCATTATGGGAACACGTCCTTTGGTAAAGGCATCAACTGGAATCATGTTACTGGTTACTACGCATCGCTGTCAAGGGTGGAAATGAAAATCAGGAAGCAACAAGGATCTTAAATTAATTTAATTAACGGGCAGACTTGTAAAAGAAAAGAGTGCTACATACATAATCTTAAGAGAAATTGTGATGATGATGAATTCGACGGCCGTTTAATAAATAATGTCATTAGCTCCATGACAAACAACATAGAAATTACATGACATTAAGCTTAATTTTCTCTCATTAATGAATCTATAATGAATTGATAACAGTTTATGTGACCACTTTTCATTTCATAGTTTCAATGTGGGAAGCTGGAAGACAAGGGCTATTCGAGACACAGCATTAAAAATAAATGGCAAAGGATCAGTAAACTAGAGTGAAATTAAACGCTTCATAATAGCTGCTGTAAAACTTGTTAAGAATCCAAAAGAAATATTAACTGAAATATGTGAAATTTACAGCAACCAATGTCTGTTTAATACACACATGAGCAGGTGCATTTCAACGACCAAAAATGATATAATGGGCATCAAAAATGGGTACCTTACCTGGCGACAAGGAAATACAACAACCAATGTATATTTGCAAAAAGTCAACAATTTATCACTGATTATGTTTGATCGACTTTAAGACTCATAGCAAATTTGATGGGCATCATTTTGGGGGTAGTTCACACTTTTGAAAGCAACATTTGATAGTAAAAAAGTTTAATACTCAAAGGTCACCCTATATTTTGAAAAAATGAGTGAAAACGACAGCGTGTAAGAATATATCCAAAAAATCATTTTAAAAAATCAAAAATTGTATTTTTCCACGTTTGTCTGTATTTTAAAGAGATTATGAAACTTCAATCCATTTTGCTTTAAACCCTCAAAACAAATTTACAATAAGAGGCACTTGACAAAACAGCAAAGGCCTGAGAAGAGCAAAGAATTGCAAGGGCTCAAAAACAGTTTTATAGGCTATTTTCTTAAATATAAGTGGTCTTGTTGTTAAAAATTTTATTCTAGGAGGAAGTTCAATTTCTGGAGGAGTCTAGAAAGCTGTCTTTTTGCAAAAAAATCGAAAGGTTTATGAGAGGAAGGAACCAGAATGAGGAATTCACTACATTAAATTTCTTCATGACAGCGTCCAAACCCACAGGCCATGAAGAGTAAAGGAGTTTTGGGGATAAACAGAAAGTTAATGTTTTGTCACACCAACAATATTCGCCAGATATTCCAACCTCTTACTTGTTCCATTTACAAAACTTGAAAAAACACCTTTCAGAAAGAAAACAAAACAAGTACAAGAAATCATAGGATCTGCCATATTCCAGTATACGAAGGGTCATACTCAAAAACGTGTTCTAAAAACAATTACAAATTGAATAAAAATTTTACACAAACGTGTTTTAATTAAAAGAGAATATTTAAAAGAAATCATTAAGACTAAATCACAGAAAAGTGTTTTTGTTCCTTTCCGAGCATCGATGACATTATTTATTGATCAGCCCTCTTTGCTAGCTTGAGAGCACTGAAATACTTTTTTTTGATGATTTATTTCAATTTCATATCAATGTACCATTTTTATATTTTGATCTTTATTTTTCACGATATATTAACATTTTTTGAAATTTTTCTTTTAATAATACACTACTGTATCTAATTTATCATTTATAGTTGTTTTTTATACATTGTTTATAACGTATAATTTGATCAAAGAAAATGCTTCTTTCCACCTGATAAAAGTAAACATATAAATGAGCTGTATAAAGCACTTCTTCAGTTAGAAAATCTTAGCACACTCTCTACGGGGTAATAATCTGAATTGTCGATTTTGATACAATTTTCACAAAATAAATATTTCCTTATCATTTAGTTCAATCCCTAATAAAATTCCATTGAATTATAGTTGAGTGTTTTGTGGATATATTACGGACAAAATTTAAAAGAAAATTTAAACAAAATAAATTTAATCGATTTGTGAAGCATGCATGAAACAAGCTTGTATCGAACTTTTTTTATATTTAAAAAAAATGCTTTAAAATGCTAATGATGTTAAAGTATTTTGTGATACATCTTTCTCGTTCTTTTCTAATTCTAAAGATTTTGTGCTTGCGCAAGGTGTTTTATTGTTCCTGTCGGAATATATGCATGCTTTTAAACTATATATCATTTTATTATCTGGAGTCAAATTTAGGTCAATGACTTCTGTAAAAATTGCTTTGTGTGATATCTAATCCATATTTAACCTCCTCTTATTACCGAATACATGGACGAATTATATCTCTTTCTGTGCCTGGAAAGTTGTTTATTTCCAGTTACTCAGTTGGATGTCTGTTGAAACAGGAGATGGGGTATTCTCTGCAATGATTCTACTGAAAAGCTTCACAGTGTGCACAGTTACTGATCACCAATAAGCACAATAAGCATATTTTGAGTAGCGAAAAATTAACGATTTATATGAATCTTTTTTAAAGTGGAATATGAGCTTCACATTTCCGTAGAGCAGAGTAGTCCTCGATTACGATGCAATTAATGAACGAAATGCAGGATTTTTAATTTCGATCACATGTAAATGTATCTCAAGAATAGTCTGTTTTTTTTTCTAAAAGAACAATTAAATGGGTTCAATGATATTTTCATGGTTGTGAAAATTAAAAAAAAAAAGGGAAAAACATCTTTGTTTGCTCTTCCTAGTAAATTTCTTAACATTTTCAAAATGATCAAAACAAATTAATTGAAAATGATTACTTTTTTCTGCATAAAATTGATCATTTTATCTGATACACTCATTTGAAAAACAAAAGATTGCTACAATTATCATTTTTTTTTTAAGAATTACATGACTGTATGTTCTGGCAAAATTCTACCGGAATTTTAAATAACTTACGAGTATTATTTTAAATTCAACCCTAATTGATTCGTGTAATAATCAAATATGGAGATAAGCTCAAAAGTCCCTTCAAACAATACATTTGTGGCACACACAATACTGAATGGCAGATATGAACCTGTTTAACATAAGAGGTGGGATCGGGTGTTATGTAGGAATGAGCATCCTCTGCCGAGCTGTTACACCTGCTGTGTCATGATAACAGAAAAATTTGAAGACATTTCAGTGTGGAAATAATGACCTAACAATTAGTTTTTAAAAAGTTAATCTAAATTTGACTTAATGATATTTGCTGACAAGTTTATTGTATTGGCCATTGAACCTGCCAAATGATTTTTCTATTTTAAAATATATATAAATAAATCAAAGAAAAATAGCATTCAAGAGTGAATTGAATTATTATATTAAACTAGAGGTCTGTGAGCACTGAGCTCACTTAATGACACCCCAGCCTCACATATGACTATAGCAGCAGAGTCCATGTTTTGCTCTGAAAGAACCGAAATTGATGAAAGATCAAAAAGTAAAAGAGAAGGTCCACCATGGGATTATGTAATAAAGAATAAAAGTAACAGTATAATTAAATTTTATTCAGCGGTATAGGAGGAGTTGCAGATAAGAGATGGGTACCCTTAGATATCAAGAAAAAGTGGCAGTGTCCATATTTTGCTATGGGGGACACGAAACATGCCTCCGATCAAAAAGTAAATTTGAAGGTGCACAATGATACTATGTATCAAAGATTCTATGAAACTTATAAATTAATTTCATTCAGTGGCATAAGAGGGGTTGCGGTTAAAAGTGTAACAGACGGACAGAGAGACATCCCGATCATTATATACCCTTCCACTTTTCAAACGGGGGTATAAGATAAGATAAATGAAGATAAAATATTATTCAAAATTTTGAAAGCAATCAACAGACTTTTTTCACCTTGAAGATTAATTTAAAACTGGGTATCTTATCAATTACATTCTGAAAAATAAAATATGGAGATTAAAAAAGACAATCAAATTCAAAAATTTATTGGAATAATGCAAAATAATGCAAAATTGGATAAGAGTAAGAGGTGAAAGTGTTGATAACGATTTATGTCTTTTTTCGTTTATTATATGAATTATATCACGTACATTTCTCCAGGGATCTCAACATGATTTTCGTCGAACTTGGCTATACATATTTCTACATATGTCTACATATGTAGAAATTCTCTTCCCTCAATTTTACTTTTAAAATCATATTCAACAGTGTGTGCAGACCCTGGAATTTATTTAATTTTATTTACATTGAATTTTTTTTCACAAAGTATTGATTACCAAAACTGACATGTTTAAAGAACGCATATGATTTTAAAACGCCGGAAAACTACAGTGAAAACACATTAACTATCTATTGAAACCTGTTACTCAGCAAATGGACTGTATTAAGGCTCCTGATACTCAATCTTTCGATCAGAATTTCTTTTATTAACCGCAACATGTTCAAGAAGTCTGTGATAGTGATGTGGTATATTTTGATAAGAAATATATGCTTTGGAAATGTGATTGAAAGCCTATTTTCATTTTTTGGAATGCAATCCTACTCGACAGCTTCTTCTCTGTCAACAGTTTATATTTCAGGAAACCTTGGACTAACAGCAACCTCAATTAATTGTGCATCCAATTGTCTCCAAACTAGCAACTGCCATCTCTATTATGTGTGCAGGTATTTTTGTACATTCAGATTATCAATAACATAAGTGATGTAATAAAATGTTTTAATCATAATTTTGTGATCGAATTGTCTTACATTCTTGATGTTGTAATTTTTCTTCTCTTTTTTGGATAATTTGAAATCACAAAATTTTATCAAAATCAACAGCATAAAAACTTACAACTTTTCAACTTTATATATAACTATTCCCCACGATAAATCAAAGTCAAGGGTTTTCGATATCAATGACATCTGTTTTTTTTCAATAAAAATGGAACTTACCTTGTCATCGGTCATTTGCAAAATTATTGTGTTAAAAACACTGATTATACACACAAGTACGTTGCAATTGATATCAAATATCTATCTGACAATATATATGTTGTTTTAATTGGGGACCAGGCCTTCAAAAAATCTATTCAAATTCCCATGGGTACTAATTGCGCCCCGATATTTTTGTTTTTATATGAAACAGGATTGTCCAAAATCTTATACCTGAAAAAAACACTTCCTATGGCCTTCAACTCGACATTTAGATATATCGAGGAGGCATTGTCAATTAACAATTGTAATATCCATTGTTATGTCGATGCGATTTATCCCTGTAAGCTTGAAATAAAAGATACCACAGAGTCTGACACATTTGTTTTATATTTAGATATTTTACTTGGAAAAGACGTTAATGGTTATCTCACTACCGAGTTTTATGATAAACGGGATGACTTAAACTTTTCAATCATAAACTTCCCTTATTTATGCATCAATATACCTTCATCACCTGCATACAGGGTTTATATCTCTCAGTTCACTCGATACGCGAGAGAATGCTCTCCGTACGAACAATTTCTAAAACGAGGTAAATTATTGACAGACAAGTTGCTGAAACAAGAATATCAGCAATCTCGAGCTCGTTTAAAGTCATTATTTCGTAAGTTCTATGGTCCATACAATGACCTTGTCAGAAAATATAATTTTTCATTAAGTTGAAGGATGACTGATGTATTTCATACTAATTGTTACACATGTATACACACTGAATTGTCGACGGATTTTTGTTTCCGTTATTTCTCGATTTAGATTATGACAAGAAGCACACGTTGGGTGTGACCGGTCGGCAGGGGATTCTCACTCCTCCATGATATGTTTTGAATGGGTTTTTTTTAACTCTGCTCCAATTTTGTATTTTAATGGACTTTTGAGTTTGAAAACTGTTATCTCCACGTATTTCATTTCATAAAATTAATCTTATGGACGAGAGGATCTTGTGATCAACTTGTTCTTC